TTTGGCAGTGAGAGACGTTCATTTAACCCCCCTTAATCTTAGGTAATTTGCTCCTGGCGTAACGTCATCTCTTTCAGTTTGCTTCTCTGCCTTCTGCGCTTGGCTGTTGATTACTTTGGCTGCTTGCCAAAGCAGCGATTCTTTCTTCTCACACTCAACTAGCTGAAACAAAGGCGCAGCCAAAATTGACAATAATAAAAGTTAGTCATAGTGAGCAAAGTAAAGTTTTATTGACACTGCAATGCGACCCATTTTCGTTCAGTAAAATCGCTGTAATAGCGGCGACGTTTGCAGATTTCTTTGGAATTGGTTATGCATTTTTTGTCTTTTAAGTATGTTGATTTTACAAAAATGTTAGTTGATGAAGCTAGTAAGTAGAATATGTATTAAAAACATCTAATTTATATGTGTCCACTTTTATTTCTTAATAATAAAATTTTAAAATTTGTCAGCATTTACGCGATCACCATGTTCACCATTTGTTATATTCTAACAGTTTATTGAAAGAAAAATGTCCGTTTGTCATACTCGACATGAGACGCTGTGGTTCAGGTTTTGTGAGGCGATGTTTTTAACTTCTTGAATTCCAGTTTTTAGCAGGGACCGTAACGGTTATAAGTTTTATTATAAAAATCACTTTTTAATCGTTATTAACTGAGTTTTATTTGTTGCTCGGAAAATAATAATTACGTTTTAAGTTTTATTTTTTCCTCGGAAAATAATAGTTATTTCTTGAGTTTTATTTTTTGCTCAGAAAATAAAACTTAATTTTTGCAGATTCGTATGCGGTTTTTTGCACTTTTTCTTTAGAAATGTGGTTCTTTTTGTTTCTGCCCTGGTATCTGTATTTTCATTACCCACTCCACAGTGGCGTTAAAGGTTTAATGCAGCCGCCCCCTGTCTATTCACGCATGCGCATACGCACACATTAAGTTTTATTTTCTGAGCAAAAAATAAAACTCAAGAAATAACGATTATTTTCCGAGCAAAAAACAAAACTCAAACCATAACGATTATTTTCTGAGTAAAAAATAAAACTCAAAATATAATGGTTAAACTTGATTTTTATAAGTAAAAATTAAAAAATAAAAATCAGTGCCGCTGAAGGTACTCCGAGTAATAAGAAATATATTGGTTTACTCCTTATGCACGCAGCATTTCTCTTTCCGCGTGATTTTTTGAGTTGAAATTTCAAAGGATAATCGTTATTTGCGGTCTCTGGTTTTTAGCTAGTCCTAATGAGCTCACCGCTTGTGAAATTTCATTCCAGGCACACAGCGTTTTCCTCGCCGTTATTTTTCGTTGCCCTGACATACACATGTACGTATATAGACTGATGTTTGTAGGGGTAACTACTTAAACCTTACCTTATATTTTCCCAATAATAATTCTCAAGGCCAAAAAATAAAACTCATAATAATTTACACCCAGAATAGTTCTTAATTTTAAGTATTTTTCTGAAATAACTACCGCCAATAAATTTTTAATTATTCTTTGGTCAGTAGTGCCTTAAAACTTTGTTTCAATATTATTGCAGCGCCGACATACCTAAATATGTATGCACATAAATATCATATCTTCTGTGGATCTCATCACATTTCCTTAACCGCATTTCTTTGCCAAACAGTCGGCCTTTTGGCAATTGCTTTGCACAAATGGCATCTATTGTATTCTAATGTATGTATGTATTTTTGCACAAAGCTACTTAACTACACTACACATGGTGGTGAGTTGCACACTTCCGCTTACTTATCTGTTATTGGCTGCTGCACTAAATCGAAAGATTATCTATGAAAAGCAAGCATTCCAAAAATTCAATTGAATTCTTCGTAAAATGCAATCATTTCGTTTCAGTGCAATCTTTTCATTTTCTGTCGCCTTCATGTTAGAAATTTCTATTTGCTTGGCTGTGCATATGTTTGTATGTGTGTGTGCGTGTGTGTATGTGTGTGTGTGAGCTAAAGTCTGCTAGGCCGGGTGCTTGGTTATGACCTCTGGCTGCTGATAATCGCCTTTCTGGCATGAAGATTTTTGCACGTTGGTTATGAGTTGCATGTTACGTGTATTGAATTGTTGTTCTTGCTGAAATTTGGATTTTTTTTCGAAATTCTCTTGGTTTCGTTTATGCCTCAGCTTGTCGGCTGGTAATTGCGATATTATCATTGCATTTTGCTATTTCGTTGGCGTAATTGAAAAATACTATTTGATACCGTGGTTCAGTGTTGCCGCTTTGGTAATTTTTTCACCAGAATTGGTAATTTTTAACCTGTTTATCAAATTGGTAATTTGCTAATTAAGTTTTCAACTCGTTAACTTTTTTGATTCGGTCTTACATGTTTGATGCATAGTCACGTTCTTAAGTATTCCACATTACGAAGCGATCCCGAGAGTTTTCATGGAGAAGGACATAACTTTGCTGTTTAAAACTACGAAGAACGATGTGAGTTTCCGGGTACAGAAGTACCCTCTGATCTCTCTTTGTCAGTTCGTCAGCTTAGAAACTACCCTCAATATCCCGATGCACCCGGCACCCGTATGAGTAGAATTTTATACAGGGTGTCCTAGATCACCCGTCCAGCCCCTCTAAAATTCTGTTTTATTGAAAAATGAAAGAATATGAATTACCAAGTCAGGATGCTCTACCTTTCGTTGTATCACCGACTTCCGGTTTCGACCGGGAGTGGTTCAAATTGGCCGAAAGTGCATTATTTTATCTTGAAGTCTATTTCAGAAAAAAAAGTTTCGGGCAAAAGTTATGTATTTTTATCCTCAAATCCGTGGCAAAAACATCTACATACATATGCGCTATTTAAAAAAAAATAATATTTTTTCTTTTTTCAATTAAAACATGTTCACTCATTTAAGAAGTCTGCGAAGAAGTCGGAGGTCAGTTAGGGGTTGAAAAGACACTTCCGGCAAAAAAAGTTTCAAACAAAAGTTAAGTATTTTTAATCTCAGAATACAAATCTGTTATAAAAGCATATGCAGCTAATTAAAATATGGACTTCCGGTCGGAACCGGATGTCGGTATTACCAGCAAAAGATAGATAATGCCTTATTTGGTTGGTCATATCGAGGGCTGAGTGGAAGATCGACCTATCTCGCCAGCTAGTTCGAAAACGCCTAAATTTTTGAACAACGCTCTATCTCAGAAAACTGTTCAACAACGCTCTACTTCAGAATTTGTTTGAAAAACGCCCTATCTTGGAATTTAGTAGAAGAACGCCCTATCTCAGCTGCCGATTCAAAATCGCCCTATCTCAGCTTTTTTTTCCAATGTATTTTCGTTTGAGATAGGGCGTTTTTGAACCGAATTCTGAGATACGGTATTTTTCAATAAAATTCTGAAAGAGGGCGTTTTTCAATAAAATTATAAAGTAGGGCGTTCTTGAAAAGCTTACTGAGATAGAGCGTTTTTGAACTGGCTGCCGAGATAGGTCGATGTTCCACTCAGCCATCGATATGTTTGCGTTATTCAATAAAAAAAAAGATTGTCTTAATATCCTCTATATGTTCTTATTCAAGAATCTACAGAATTCAGTAAGGGACTTGCTTTGTCTATATGTGAGTCTAAAGCTTTCTGAGCTGCCTTCTAGCGTTGATTTGTTTTAAGATATTTTTTGCTGCCAAAATTTTAAAAATTTTGATTTACAAGTGCTCCAAAGTTTGAGGTTTATTCGCATAAATACGACCAACCGGGTAACCTCATAAGGAGTTCAACAGCATCAAGTCGGTTCTTCTTGGGGGCTAAGTAACATCTGCTGGGCACATAAAATAATTTTGGTAATTTCTGGTTACATTTTCTAACTTTTTTCTGGCAATTTTGGTAATAAATATAAAAACGTTGTGACTACACTGATAATTTTCTTTTTGCAAAGTTTTACTCTTCTGCTCTTTTATTTATGCATTTTGTGGGATTTTATTTTGCTTCGTGGCGCAAAAATTTCGATGCTTTTAAATGTAACAAAGGCAAAGAAAGAAAGCTAAGCCGCAACTAAGTAAAAGCGGTTAATTCTTTTAATGGAATTTTTGCTTTCAATTAAGTCACAAAGTCGCTTATCTAGGGAAAAAATTCGCTTCCAGTCGGCTTATCGCTTGTCGCATTAGCGCTTGGGTGTTAAAAGCAACTGGTTCAAGCAAAAATTTTCAAATATTTAACTAAAAGAAGAAGCAGCAGAAGAGAAGTGTGTGCGGAAATCATTAGGTGTGAATACGCAATTATGCCGCCATATCAGGTTTTGCATCTCAGCATCCGTTTTCTTTTCGTCGTCCCCAGCTGCAATTAGGCAAGGAAGGTGAATTGCATGCATGTTGCAAGGACGCCTGCGAAAACGCTGTCATTGCAGCAAAAGTCGCCCCTTTTTCCCCCTCTCTCCATTGCATAGCTTCCACAATTGCAAGTAGCAATTACTGCCAGATTAGGCGCTACTTCAGACCATTTGAAAGTCACGCAATCGGTGGCTGTGGTATTGCTCCCTTCCCTCCGCGGTAGTCGCTTGAATTCGCATTACCGTGCATTTCATGCGCTTGCATGCATTCTTGCATTTTCTGTGAGCTAGTTGCAACTATTGAATGTTTAGCAAGTAAAAAAAAAATAAAGAAAAAATTAAACACATAAATATTAAAAGGCAGTGTAAGGTGACTAGTAGGCAGTTGCCGGCAGGCTTTCTACTTACTTGTTATTTTAGTGCAAGTATTTCTTTGAAAATATGTGTGTGCTCTAGCCCTTATTTCCGTGCATTTACCATGTGGTTAGATAGAGTTGAAAGAACGTCGCAACTCATTAAAAATTTCACTCATTCATTTCATGATTTTTTTTTCAATAATTAAACCGTGAGTGCGCAACTTTCGCGTCGCTGCCTTCGCATTTATAAAACACTCGTACGGGTAAATTTCATAAATGTATGTATGTATGTATATGGGTGCACATTTCGTTGTAAGTTTTGAAATTTCTGGCATTCCTTGATAACGTTGCTTTTCTTGCGTTAATTTAATTACAGTGTTGCAGTCAGATCCGGTACTATTGCGTCGCGCCCGTTATGTCATAACGGAAACGAAACGTACACAAGACGCGGCCGCAGCCTTGAAGGCACACGATTTTGCAAAGGTGAGTGCACATTGCTATATATTTTTAATTAAGGAAAACTCAAATATGTATTTAATAGTATGTATAAGTTTAGTGTTATTCTGGACTATGAGTGAGAAAATTGGTGATAAAATATCTTTAAGGATTTTCTAAGATTTTTTTTTTTAATTTTAATATTTTTGTATTTCAACACTGTTGATACATTGTTTAGTTATTAAGTTTTTACTTGTAGTACAAAAACCAAACCAACCAAAATATGTGGTTGTGAAGTACACAGATGCTCTTTCGTAATTAAGAAGGAAAACAATTTTATTTTATCTACTGTCTGATGGTAATTGAACCCTGACCCTCTTGGGCGCAACTAATTGTATCAAGCGTCTTTGCACACTCAGCTACAGCCATCCATGTAAATGTGCTTTCAAATGTTGAGTTCGAATCAACATCATAGCGTGCGATTAGTGCAATATGTCATATCATGTATATGTGTATGTGTGTATGTGCTGTCACCGCTGTGTATGCCTTGCATACATACATATACGTTCTTAATTACATATGATAAAGCACCCGAGACGTGCAAAACGCCATCCGTGCAGTGAATAATGCTTCATTTTAATACGGGCGTATTTGAATTGAATATTTCCATTATACGTAGTGTATGTATAATGGAAAAATCCATTTCGTTAACATTTTTCACTCGATTTAAATACGAAAATTTTTAAACGGTAATCAAACAAAAAAATTTTATTCTTACAAAGTGTTTTTTTTTTCTCAGTGTAGGGAATCTCATTGGCCGCTAGCAAAATATTTTTGCACTCCTTCTGCATTGTCTCAATGTCAGAGCCAATTTCAAATGGAAATTTTCGTGAGTAATCAAATCAAATTTTAAAAGTTATCAAAACAAATTCTATGGGACTGAGAAATATTATTTTCTATTTTTTAATCCATTTATAAAATCGTTGTATATTAAAAAGGTTTTTTTTTTTATTTTATATATTTATTATTAACTAGCACTTACTTCTAAGCACTGTGCCTTATAAGTATTTTTGTCTTGTTTGATACCCGTACTGTAATATTTCATTTATTTTATCAATTTAAAATTTTATTTTTTATTTTATCAATTTATTTTATCAATTTAAAATTTTTCAAACAGATGGCAACCCTCCTCAAAAATGTTTTCGGAAGTTAACTTATTTATGTGTTGTTTGATATCCATATTGCACTATTTAATTTATCTTATAAATTAAATCAAATACAAGTTTGCAACATGTGGCATCCTCCACAAAAATATTTTAGACTGTAGGCCTTCCCAGACTTCTTTCTTTTGACAGGCATATTGCAATACATCTTTTATCTTTTAATTTTCTTAAACATGCAGTTTTCAAAAAGGTGGCAACTCTTTACAATTTTATTCTATGTATGGATTTCAATAAGACAAAATATTTTCAAAAAATGGAACAAAAATTTACTGTACGATTTTCACTGCCACTCACAGATGTTAGAGAGTACGCCTTCCAGGGCGTATGCGTAACTTTAACAGTTTCGTTCTATTTTTACAACGCTTTTATCAACTTGCAATGTTGTGTTCCAGAAACTTTCAATGTTGTGTTCCGGAAATTTTCAATGTTGTGTGTCCGACACCATAAAGCTTTGCTCTGAAAAGTTCCTATAAAAAAGCATAGTGCATAGGGCGACATCTGTAGTGAACTAGTGCATAGGGCGACAGCTGTAGTGAATAGGGCGAGGTAGATGACATCTAGATGTCGCCCTATGTACTACGTTTGCTACAGCGGAAATAGACGACACCTCATTTCTTTAAATAAAATTAATTGGTGCTCGTTTGTATGTACATACATATGTAAATGCATGTGTGTGCACCTTTCTATTAATATCGTTGAATTATTTTAATATCTATTGCAAAATTTTATTCAGACAGGACTAAAAAGTAGAAAATAAATAATATAAAAAAAACTTTTTAATATACAACGCTTTTATAAATGGA